CAAGAACCAGTTTCTTAAAAGAACAAACAACTTAAGATGTTAAGACTCGCCTAACAAACACAAAGTGTCACGAATCCATATAGTGGGTTTGGGAAGAAAACTCAGTCCTGTACTCAGCAACCAGATATAAAGTATTGTTATACTTTTTTTTTTAACACATTTGAACTTCGAGTTATTATTTTATTTTCTTTTACACATACTTGTGCGATATCGCCCTTGTTCGAACTTTTTCTTGCAGTACGGCCCGGCGACTGATTGATTTCGTCTGCCTAGATCAATTCACAACGTGGGTAGGTTAGACTAGAAATCAAAGCAGTTACTTCGGTAACCAGACGTTGGAAGCGAGCTGGGAACGACGAGGCTGATACCGAATCTAACCAGATTCCCAACCGAATCACCAAAAGGTTAGAACGTCACATTTGGTGCCGTGACCAATACCAAGCCAGTTGGTCGTCACAAGACAGGATAGCACGACTGACGCAGACAGGCGGACGTCACATTGGGAGCGGCGATACCGGGGGGGGGACGTCACAGTTCTAGTTCCACGTGTCATGTCCAATGGATGTGGGTTATCAGTTATCTCCTGTTCATTCCCTTCTCCAAGTTCTCCACTGCATTAACCAGGTATCTAACTCACACCTCTTTTGGTCCTTAAGGACACATGGTACAGTGGATAAAGGCGTTGGTTAGATCCAGTGACAGGACCCAAAGAGGTGTGAGTTCAATACCTGGTTAAGACAGTAGAGAACGGAGAGGTGAATTAATTATTTGTATTTGTTCGATTGTTTGTCACACAACCGTCCTGGGTATGACGATAAACTTCATCCGCGTCCAGGGTAAGACGATAAACTACGTCCAGCAGCAAGGCCTCTGATCATCAGCTTTGAGGAGCGTGGAACCTCCTCTTATTTGCTGGTGTTCCCAGGTTCACCCTGACCCGGGGTCCCAGCTATGGGCAAATAGTTAACCCCGAAAAAAAAAAAATTAAAAAAGAGTAAAAATACGGCAAAAAACATTATGAAAGAGTAAAAATAAGTTTTAATACCAGAAATACTTTGTTAAAAATGATTACCAGAAAAGAATTTTGAAGAAAAAAATATTACTAGCAATACGTTTTTGAGAAAAAAATATCTATTAACAGCAATAAGTTTTTGAAAACATATTGCCAGCTATAATTTTTTGTAAAAATAATATTACCTGCTATACATTTTCGAGGAAAAAATATTAACAGAAATAAATCTTTGACAAAACAAAAATATTACCAGAAAAAGAAAAATTGTCAGCATTAAATGACCCATTGAGGTTGATATACCGTAAAACAAAACAAACCAAACCAATTGTCACACAAACGAGACTGAAATTCTCACAATTAATTACTCATATTATTCGGATGTTTGTTCGTCTATACAACATTACAAAACACGACTTAGTGATAGTTTGTTTACGCAATTCAATAGTCCATTGCTAACATGAAATTAATATTGGAATGTTATATACATACAGTGCACACAATATAAACTTGTGACATATACATCCGCTCATATATAGACGTATTTTCTATTTATTATATATATACTAACGTTATGCATTCAGTTGTACTGTAAAAATGTTACACAAAACATTTTGCTTGAAGTTTTTCGTAAACTATCTTTGTAATTCATTTTCGTAAACTATCTTTGTAATTCATTGATTGAAATAAAAATAAAACTCAAATAAATAGACAGTTATTAAAATCTGTGTTTGAAGATTTTTTATTTTTCGTTTATACACGCATATTCCGCTATATATATATATATATATATATATATATATATATATATATATATATATATATATGGATATAACAGTAAAATTCTCTAAATAGTGTAACAGCATAATTATCCATGGCATAAATATTTAATAACTAAAAACCCCTAACATATTGAATTTCTTTTTCCATGTTTTCAGATAAGACATTTAACCATTTTGAGACCATTTGACACAATAATCACTGAAAAACACTTCGAGTTATTCAGCTAGAAAGAGAACAGGTTAAAATCATTTTGTGTCAGCCCTACTATATATTCCCAACTGAGCAATAGTGAGAGGAAAAAGATCATTCAGGTCTTCAGTAATGGTATCAACATTCATACTCTGGCTTCCATCTTCAAAATCCTTTCAAGAACAATCAAGAGAACGTTCAATAAGTTTAAAATAGAGGGTGCAGTAGAGAGGAAATCTGTATCAGGTGGTGAGAACGCGAAGAGGTATCATAATTTCAACTTAGAGCTAAAAAAATTAATTAGAAAAGATCGACCTCAATTCATAAGACATTTGGAACGTGAGAGACCAGTTTCAGCTATGAAATTCCAAAGAGCAGTGAAAAAAAGACTTGAATATGTAATCGTATTTTCACGTGCTACTCAAGGACAGAAATTTAGAAGGTTAGAGTGGGCGAAGATCATCTGGAAAATGATATTGGAATAATATATAGACCAAAGAGTGTTATAAAAAAAACTCCCAAAAATTCAAGGAAGATATATTAAATCAATTCTAAGATACAACGTTTTCGTCTATATTTTATCTGTTTAGTATATTGTTTCCCTTTTTTGCGTTAGATTTGATGATTTTCCTGGGTGCTGTGTATGAACTTCTGTACAAATTACTGTTGTAAATGTTTAAGTAAGCAATCTGGAGTCCAGGAATGGATGAATCTATTTCACCTTGATTTCTATTTACAAATATTTCGATTGACGAACGGCCTTCAGGAACGAATTATATATATAGTTTAAGTTAAGATACGTTTCGTGAGTTGAAATGATCGACAAATATCGTCAAAGATTGTGCAATTCGGACTTTGTTGTCCAGATGCTTCTCTGTAACTAAATGGTGTAGTAGATCAGATCAAATGATGGTTTCTGTATTCCGTATATATATATATATATATATATATATATATATATATATATATATATATATATATATATATAGAGAGAGAGAGAGAGAGAGAGAGAGAGAGACCAGTTTAAAAACGTTTTGTGTCAAACTCACTGTCTTCACAAATGAGCAATAGAGAGAGCAAAAAAGATTATTCAGGCCTTCAGTAATGGCACCAACATTCATACTCTGGGTTAGATCTTCAAAGTCCATTCAAGAAACATCAGGAGAACGGTGAATAAGTTAAAAAAAGAGAGAACGATAGAGTGGAAATTTAAAAAAGATCCGACTCAATCCATAAGACGTCTGGTCCGTGAGAAAAGAGTTTCAGCTATGACAGTCAAAAGAGCAGTAACAAAAAACAGAAAAAACTTGAAAATGAAATTGTACGTGAAACGTGTGAGTCAACTTGTTGCTCCAGGACAGAAAGATAGAAGGTTAGAGAGAGCAAAGATCATCTTTAATAAGTTTGAAAATGATCACGGAATAACACACACACACACACAGATATATATATATATATATATATATATATATATATATATATATATATATCTTTGAACTAAATATCAGTCCTTCACGAGCTTCCAACCCTTAGCTATGATTAATGATAAACATGTCATTTTCGTTTACGATCGATTTCATCAGATTCTTCTGTTAATCTTGGAGAGTAATTAAACATTCTTAATACTCAAAGTAGACACCAATAGACTTATAAAAACCTGTGAGAATTCCAGTAAGACATCTTTAATCATTTCTAAGATACAACGGTTCAGAGCTTAATCTAACAATTGGACAATTATTCTTTGACCCGTTTTGGACAATTTTGGTGTTCCACCCGATATATATATATATATATATATATATATATATATATATATATATATATATATATATATATATATATATGTAATATACTTCCATCTATCTATAATATACTTCGCTTTATATATTCAGATGATTAGAGCTTTTGTGAAATCTTTCACGGTTTTATCATAATGTTTCAGTTCAGGCATTTAGGGTCAACCATTATCCGTTCAGATTTTAATCCCTATTTTGTAGATGCCTTCTAATTCCCCTCTTTTTTCCCATTTATAAGCTTGAACGGGTGCGGCATAATTAGAAAACGTGAGGCTTATTTTCTCGAGAGCAATTTCTTGGTATTGTAAACAGATAACTGTCTCCAGAAACTTCGTTTCCATTATCAATTGTGTAAGCCATAGGTCGTCGATAAAAGAACGGACAATTCTCTCTTTTGTGAAAGGAGAAAATCAATAATGTAGATTTACGGAATTAGAATGGGAGCTATTGGTCCGGTGATGAATTATAGCGCCCATCTCTCTCCTTATCTCTCCCTCTTTATCTCTGTCTTTCTCTCCCTCTCTCTCACATGTGAAGAACTGTTTGCTTGATATATATTTGTTACTTGTGAATTCGTTATTTCTTTTGGGCACTTATTAATATAATATGAAATATATAATCAAATAATTTCTATCATAAAGAAGTACCTCTAAATTAGGAAAGACAAACCATTTCTAATATAGATATATATTTCTTTAATAGAAATCAACAGATTATTTCTGTAATAGGGGAAATTTATATGTATAATAGGAAAAATAAAATAATTTCTATTATGCTGAAAGTTATTTCTACCATAAGAATGATCAAATCATTACTATAATAGGGAACAGTTACATCTATAATATCAAAGATCAGATTATTTCTATAATAGATAAAATTTATTCCTATAGTAGGAACGATCAAATAAATCCTATAATTGGGAAAATTATATCTATAATACGAACGGTCAATTCCCTTCTATAATAGGGAAAATTTATTTTATAATATGAAAGATCAGATCATTTATATAATCGGGAAAAGTAAATTCAATAAGAAAGGTCAAATTTTTCTATAATAGGAAAAAGAGCAGATGCCATTTTCCAAACAGATAAATAGCCATATTATACAATTTTACGTTTTATGAGAAGGAAAAATAATTCTAATTCGACAGATATGACATACTTATTTTATGATTAATTTAATAATTCTGTTAATTCCTATCATAGTTTAAAGCGACATCACGTTTCAACACCAGTTTTCGTACAATCACCGAAGTTAAGCAACTTCGAGCCTGTTCAGTAACTAGGTGGGAGACAGCTTGGGAATACCAAGTGCTGTAACAATTGGATGTAATCGATAATGGCGCAGAATACCTAATACGAGAACCGATTTCATAGGGTTCGTTATATTCGCTTACGCACAAATAACATTTGGGATCTTTAGAATTTCATACTACGGGTTATAAAATGCCTAATCTAAATTATACCCGACGACTTCAGTTTATATCCCATTTTATCTTTAGCATTAATAATTGTTTTTCTTAACCGGATAAGCCATAGAAGTCTCCATTACAAAAATGGCCACACTTCATTCATTTTGTGCAAAATCAATCGACATTTAGAAGTAAGAGGAAGAACTTACGTGCAAGCCAAAGAATCGGAATAAATTTGGAGGCTGTAGAATGCACGCAAGAAAATCTCTGCAGATGTGTGACACTGCTTGATCCATAGTCTACCTGACTATTATCTCTGGATACAATGATATACATCTTATTACATGGGAAAAGAAGGCTTATAATCTGACCTAGAGGGGTTATATTCTCGACAAGCGCATTTGATAGGCGGAGGCTTAAGTTGGCCTAGCCTTACTTACATCCCGAGTAGAAAACCGGGGAATTGGAGGTACAGTATGATAGTTACACCCGGATTTCGAAAACGTGTTCGCAAGCCGAGTGTTTCAATTTTCCCTTGCAATGGTCATTCTTTTAAGCTTATATGTGGCACAAGGCCGAAGTATAGCGCACCCTGTGAGCATCAAACTCACTATTTTGTCGAAATTGATCTTGCGAGACATGCTTGCTAACTATTTCACCCCGTCGAAGTGCCCCAGTCCCCACTTGCAATGATTTTCTTTCTGTTCCGGATTTTAACTTTCTGGCAGAGTGGACACTTCTATGTAGTGTGATGGTTAGCAGGCTTGTCTCGCTAGATCAATATCGACTGAATAGCGCGTTCGATCCTCATTGGGTGCACCATACTTTCGTCCTTGTGCTACATTTAAGGACAAAATTAAATGCAATGTCAATCGTAGTCTTCTTAATTTATGTTCTTTTATTGTCCTCTCTCATAGTTTATTCTCATATTCGCTAACACTCAGTAACCACTTGCGTCCTAGTGGATTTATTGACCTGATTGGGGCGACATTATTTTTTCTTAAAAGAAAATAATTTACAAACTATATATATATATATATATATATATATATATATATATATATATATATATATATATAAAACGTTGCCTGTTATTTTAATACTAAAGGGTTCTCTGACTATAGTAGTATTTATTACATATAATCTTGCTAGTGTAAAATGTAAGACAGAAATCTGAAGTCACATATAAATGGCGAATGATGCTTTCCAGAAAGAAAACAAAGTATCAAGACATAGAAAATTCTCCTTAGATGAAGAAGAGCCGTTACGCAACAGGGATTTGGCCCAACAGAAGAATGCTGATAATAACAAGGAACGAAACATGTGAGCAACGACGAAGTTTTAGAGAATGTTCGAAATTTCTAAGGAACACAATGTGGAAAGAAGGCTTGGAAAATTTGATACTCACAGGATAGATTGAAGGCTCCTGCCTGTGAACGTGAAATGACAAGAAAACAACATATAACCTACCTATCGAGCATATGTAAATGGATAGTGGAACAAGATTTAGGTGAGATGATAAAAAGACAATATTTATTAAGAACTACACAGGACAGGAAATTGTGGAGAGCCATGCTTGTCATCTTACTGGAGGGACAAGGCATGTAGAAGTATTACAATATCTGTTTGTGCTTTGTAGGGGAAGTTACTTTTAGTTCCGAGAAATCAATATCTGTATATTTAGTTTCTAAATTGGTATTGATTTAATAAATCCGTGGAGCCGTAGCTTCTCTCTCTCGCTCGCTCTCTCTCTCTCTATCTATCTATATCCATACCTCTCTCTCTATATATATATGTATATATATATATTATATATATAAAATATATCATATAAATATATATGAATATATATATATAAAAAATAGAAAAAGGTGCAATAAATCCAGTTAGAAAAAGCAACTATCTACCTATCTATCTATTTCTCCCTGTCTCTTTCTCTCTCCCTCTTTCTGTATATATATATATATATATATATATATATATATATATATATAAAAATTGAAAAAAGCCTAATAAATCCGGTTAGAAAAGGCATCTGTCTATCTACCTATCCATCTATTTCTCTCTCTTTCTTCTCTCTCTTCCTCTCCTCTCTTTTCTCTCTCTCTCTCTCTATATATATATATATATATATAGAGAGAGAGAGAGAGAAAGAAAAATATATATATATATATATATATATATATATAAAATAGAAAAAAAGGCCTAATAAATCCGGTTAGAAGAGGCATCTGTCTATCTACCTAACCATCTATTTCTCTCTCTCTTTGTCTCTCTCACTCTCCATATATATATATATATATATATATATATATATATATATAGAGAGAGAGAGAGAGAGAGAGAAAATTTATTAGACCCTTTTTCTATTTTTGTGTATTTGCGCAATCTATTTATCCATATTCCGTCTGTTTGCTCCATGTACATGCTTGGGGGTCAAGTGTTGTAAATATCGGTTAGGGTGTTAGTTAATTGCTAGCACAAGAATATAGCAGTTCAGCTACTACAGCCAGAATGAAATAATTATTCAATGTTCGATGTCGTTGAATATACTAAAGGAAATTACGGCGTTACCGTAAAATTGTGTTTAGAAAGGTTATTTCCAAAGACGATTATTGCTTTAGTCAGTTCTGCCTTTACAGAGGGCGCATTCCACATATTATATGCTTAAGTCGTACTAACCTCCGCTCTCAAGTGAGTTTCTCGCCGTGTAGAAGAAGCATATCTCATACATTTCCTATATCGAATGCCTCACCCCTGAGTATAGTCTAACAAACTTTAATAAGTTTCTATCTCCGCTGGCCGCTCTCCCCACCTTAATCGAGTTTATTCTGACACAGAACATTCTTACTCCCGAAGTTTATTTCTGCTTTAATAATTATTTACCTTATTCGGATTATTGTCCTCATCTTTGTCGCCATATTTATCACAACGTTTCGGCCGTCGTACGCTCCGGCCTTCTTCGGGTGGTTGGAATGTCGAACTGAACCCTTTATTTCGCTCACTGGGGTAGACTGTTCTAGTTCCACGTGCCATGTTTGATGGATGTCAGTTATCAGTTATTTCCTGTTAATTCCCCTCTGAAAGTTCTCCCCTGCCTTGCTTGGGTCCTGTCACTGGATCTAACCAACGCCTTTATCCACTGTGCTATGTGTCCTTGTGGATAAAGGCGTTGGTTAGATCCAACCACCTGAAAAAGGCCGGAGCGTACAACGGCCAAACGTTGCGATAAATATGGCGACAAAGATGAGAACAATAGTCCGAATACGGTAAATAATGTACATAATACCTCATCTCAGAAATAGAGACAGACTCTGCTTTAACAATGTTAGAGTTTCTGCCTAAATTCCCAAGAATATTTTTTTTAATCATTTCACCCCAATCAAGGCGATAATGCCACTAAGACGCAAGGGGTTACTGAGAGTACAAGAACATGAGAATGCTTTATTGAGGAAAAGGGACAATAAAAGAATTGGATTCTCAAAGACAGAAGAACGGGATTAACATTGCATTTAAATTTGAGAAGATTGTAGGTAGCAGGATAATGAAAGAAAGTTCCGCAGGTGATAAGTGCGAGAAAAGAAACTATTGGAATAGAAATTGCAGTTATATCTTGTTATTTAAAAAGTAAAACCGAGGGACCTAATAGACAATCCAATAGTACATTTAAGTTCATACTGTCGTGTTATCAAGGAGAAGAACTCCTTAGAACAAGTGTTATGGATTTTTTATTCAAAAGAACTGGAAAAGTGACTGAGGTCGAGATACCAGGTCAGGACCGATAATATTACAGATCATTCTTTGGATTTTGTCTAGAATCTCGAATCTCTAGCCTGAGCGCTAGACCAAATATGACAGCAATATTCCCTGCATGGACAAATGGTAGATTATTAAATGTGAAAGATGGACTCTGACAAGACAAATTATTTGGCACGGCACAGTGAAACAACCTTCTTATCAGTACACCTAGCGACTGATTCAATATACTTGCTACCCTTCATGTCAGTAGAAAACGCGAGGTCAAGAAGACGTAACAAGTTACTTCCATGGATGGTAGCATCAACCAAGCTGATGAAGGGCAAAAATAGCTCTCTATCAGGTTTAAAAGATCGTCGTTTCGTTTTGTCGGGGTTCAAATATACAAGTTATTTCCTGAACCAGTTTACAAATGACTGGTGGTTATTTTTGAGAATTGCGAATTGCTGAGAAATACTTTTTTTTTTCATAAAATTGTTTGTACTCTTTTGAAATTATAAATTTTAAATCAAAATTTGTTTAGCTTGCCTCGCAGCATCTCCAAAATTCAATATGAAAAAATATCAAAAATCGTAAGTGCGGTGGATATTCGGTGTACTTACAAGGAATTTTTACAATTTAAAAAAAACAAAACCTATTTTTCGGCTTTATTTTATCGGGGTGAGTGCGATCGTAGACCTCGCACTTAGAAATATCAAACCCAAGGTCAACCAACCGAAGTGTCATGGAAGAGACTCGCTCTGAAAAAAAAATGGTGTGAGTTTTCGTAAACATAAGTTCTTGTTATTTTGGGGTGAATTAATATTTTGGTGGGTATTAACAGAAAAAAGATCCGTCGGACCTATCAGTCTTCCTATTAATAGAGAAATAAAATAATATATATATATATATATATATATATATATATATATATATATATATATATAGATGTAATTATATCAATAAGTTAATGATTTTACTTTGTTTTCTTAATATTCTATCATAGATTTAAAAAGAAATACACTTATTATAACTAAGAATAATCAATATTTATATCAGATAATCAGTTTAATTACTAAATCTTAAAAATAAATATGGTTAATCTAGAAAATTGATGTCTTTGGTCCTGAAATGAAAAAAAAACATTTTTGCTCATGAAACTGAGGCAAAAT